TGCGTCAAAAGAAATACTTCACCATGTCACGACATGTCTGTGCTTTTGATTTATTACCTATGGAACTAGTTCACGTTATTTTCAGCTATTTCTTGGCTCATGAAATTCTTCATTCGTTTACGAACATCAGTGACTATGTCAATATAATCTTACTTTCCTATTCGTCTTATCGTCTCAACTTCAGTTCGATTTCCAAATCAGACTTTGATCTTGTTTGTCACCATATTCGACCTTCACAAGTCATTTCGCTCACGCTCTCTGATGCTCAAGATACACCAGGTCAATCCGACTTATTTTTGACACATTTTCGAATCGAACAATTCATACACCTTCGATCACTTCGATTAATCGAGATCGAACTCGATTCATTTGAATCGATCTTCTCAAATTTGAATCATCTCGAACTACTCCATTCACTTACCTATGACACAAAATGCATTAAAACCAAATGTCCACATTGGATCTATGATTATTCAGGGATGACCATAGATGTGAACTCGTGCTACTCAGAGGCTGCTATTCGAGTATTACCTCGATTAAATCGATTAAATTTATCGATTTTCAAAATCGCGCCTGAGATACAACTTCCACGCCTTCGGCAACTTAAGTTGGAAAAGTCAACCGTAGATCAACTGAATAGGATTTTCTTTCAAGCACCGCAGTTAACATCACTCGATATTTCACTGGAAGGTGATGCATCACATATTCATCATTTATCTCCATGTTTTCAATTGAAGCGACTCACTCTAAAAATTGATGGTAAGAATAAAAAATTACATTTAACAAAAGGAAAACGATTGTTATTATTTCTGCTTGAAATTTAGATTCACCAATATCATTAACTCAAATGGAACGAATTTTACCAAAATTAACCCAACTGATACATTTTGAATTGCAAGCAAAAGGCCACCACGATTTGGCCGATGGTCATCGATGGAAAATACTGAGTGAAAGTTTTCTGAAGTTCAATTTCAAGTTCGAAATCGATTCTCCGCTCGATGAGATAATTCTCGATTCATTTCGTACTGAATTTTGGCTTCGTGAAAAACGTTGGTATGTAGCTTACAAAGGTCAATTTCTTTTTTCGATACCCCATTTTGCTCCAGTGGAAGTTAATAGTTCTGATTTCTCGTCATTATCTTTTTGGAAAACATCTGATGATACGATCTTCTACAAACATGTCACTAAACTCAATTTATCACTGAGTTTGAACGAAGATAATTTGCGCATCGTTTCGAGTATGATCGATCTCAGTCGTATAGAACATTTGACTATATCGTCATTCAATGATATACAATCTTTAAATTTCTATCTACTCGACATGCACTATCTTCATACACTCTGCATTAGCGGAAGTCTCTTTCTAGATTCTATTGAACAAATGCGACTCTATCGATTCGAACAGATTCGAACACTTAAGATTTGTACTCGTTTACCAAGAATGAATTACTTCATTGAAGAATTATTACGTCTTTTTCCACGTGTTGAACATTTACAAATGTCATCCCTTAAGTGGAGAGCACAGATGATCCGATTGATCGATGGTTTTCCACATTTGTCAAATGCATCATTCACTGTTAAATTACCGTACAAAGAAGACGAACAACGTTGGTATTTTGAACCAGAGTTATCAATTCGTGGCACACGGCGACTGACTAGAGGCACGTTTAGATGTCGATTTTATCGTTCAACTCGTACAAGTCGTTCATGTGATGTTCATATCTGGATTGGAAAACAGGTGAGCTCATCGTCTTTAATTGTATTTGTTCTGAATGACTTTCATTTAAAATGTGATTTAGCCGCGACGACCGTGTTGGGCAGCCTGTTGTCCTCCACGACGAGGATATTATTGGTATCGATTAATGCATATCGTGTTCTTTCAGCCCTGTAGGAGTTGTTGCGATACTTGTATAACTTCATTGGCTTTGAGCGGTATTTCATCGTTCATAGCTCTAGTAATACTTCATAATAGCGTTTTTTCTGCCTACGGCCTATTTGTTTCTTCTATTTTATATTGTTTTCTCGCTATGATTTTTGATTTCGTTTTACACATACTGCGCGCTATTGCCCTTTATTACTTTCCATCAAAGACGAGAAAAGCGACCTATATCGTGTTTTTTCTGATCATTATTTTCTTTCTTATTCTAATTGTCAACGTTTTGTTGCGCGAAGTATTTTCTCGACGTTCATTGGGATAGACGATTTTAAAGCTTAGTTTGTTTTTATTTAAAAATAAATTCATCTTTTTTGTCTGCTGAAGTATATTTTGGAAAACAATAATCACAACCTAACATATGATGATGGTAGAATTGTATTTAATAGAAGTTGAAGAGAAAAAACAATGTAAAACAAACCAAAAAAAACTGATTAAAAAAAGGTTAGTCTAGTCTTACACGATTTAGTACACGAGGTGCTAATCTTGGATCGTTCAGTAATTCCAGATATTGAACTCTGACAAATCAATGAGTTAAATTATTTGACATGAGCTTCAATAGGATCACCATACCGAAATAAAGTCCTACTGCTTGCTTTAGCAGGATGCTGTCTTCCATGAAATGATAGATGCAACCAATCTAACAAGAACGTTTAGACAAAATTCGTATGCTAGAACTGTTAAAAAAATAGTAGTTGATATTAGTATAATCACAAACAGTGCTAAGAAATTCATTTATACAGATTTTTAATTCCTAGTTTTTTGTTCACCGAGAATGGAATGCCGTAGGCAAACTAACTTCATCTCGATGCACCTTTCAAAAAACTGATGGTCATAGGTCATGACCATGATTTAGTTCATCACGGTACTCGAGCTCTTCAGAAACCTGGATTTTGGATACCGCGGTTTATGAAACCGATAACTATCACTATACCCAATACCATAGTTGTCAATGAGGCCACTGCGGTATTTTAAATCACTAAATACTGCGACACCCAATACCACAATAATCAATAAGAATGTCGTGATGTTTGAAACCGTTAATTACCGCGACACCTAATATTGCAGTCTTGAGTGAGCTTACTGCAGTTTTCGTTAACCGAGCAGTGCAATAGAAACGCGGTTAATTACGATTGTCATAACGACACCGCAGTGAGAGGTATTATATTTCAAATAGTGCTAAATATTTCATAGAAAACAAAAGCTACAAGGTTATGTCTTTGACAAAATTTTTATTTATCTTGATTAAAAACAAAAGAGAACATAAAATGAAAATATATCGTGAGATGATGATTTCGTATCATTGTGATAAAAAAAAGAACAACATATATCAATTTTTCGTCTGCATAATAATTATACTTTCAACGAAAAATATCATTTTCAACTTTAATTAATCACAATAACAAAACAACAATCATCATTTCTCGAAGGAAAAAAGAAAATTTTTTTATTGGCATCATTGAATGGCTTCATTCAATGCATTTTTAATCAATTCTAATGGAAATGAACCTTGAATTGGTTGAGCAATATAACTAAACTTTTTCATATGATCAATAACATAAAATCGAATTGGCCATGGACTATAAACTTGACTAAATGGATTATTTTCTGATACTGGATCAATTAATAATGGAATTCGATATTCTGTTGTTTTGATAAAATCATTTGCAATATGAATTCGATCATTATCACTTTTTGGTTGATTATAACATATTCGACTACCAATTGGCTTATTTTTTATTCAATTTTAAGATCATTTTAAAAACAAAAACTATTTTCTTCATCAACTTACCATTCATCAGCTGCATGAGCTTCTTCTATATAAACAGTAATCATATCAACTTGATCTTGATAAAAATCCATTAGTTGATTAAGTTGTGGTACAAGACCACGAAATGGTGGTCAAGTATATGAACCAGCTATGATTAATAATGGTTGATTTGAATGAAAATAAGATAATAATGATACAAATTCACCATTCATATTCAATAATTGAATATCAATTGCCAAATCTCCAATATGAAGATTTCCTTGTTTTGCACGATTATGTCGAACATAAAGAGATAAATTATGAAATTCATTATCATTTGAATATAATTGATGAGCACTACGAAATATTCTACAATATAAATTAAATATTCAAACTTATAATTAAATTATATAATGAATTTATTACATTATTATATCTAATCAAAACTGGTATAACTAGATATTAGAAAAATATATTATATCGCATTCTTCTCTAGGGTGTGTATTAGTAAGCACCATACTAAATGGAATTGTTTTTTAGACTGAAAGTGATTCTTCTTTTTCTTTTTGGCCGAAACTGGAATAATTATGGGATCAAAAATGGTTGGTTCCGCTCATTGCAGAGTACAACATTGTTGAATATAAGAAACAAATTATAGATCAATCCCAACTTTCACGACTGACAGTGCTTAGAAAATGTTCTAATATTTCAATACAAACACAAGTTGTTCATTTTCTCTGACATGATAAAAATAAGAAGACAAAACTAAGCTCAAATAAATACAAAATAGATAACTTTAAAAGCAAATTATAAACATTTGAAATCTTCTCTGATCATATCTTCAGGATTTAACTTTATTTTATCTGTGAGACAAAAATTTTTACCTCAAACCACATTGAATTTCATCTTCTGTTGCATCTTCACCAATTGTTTCTTTAATTAATTTCGTTTGTAAATCATCTATAATATCCATCCAATCAATATCTTTTCGATCTTCAATACTTGATAATAATTGTTGAGTTTCTTGACTAAGTCTTATTTGTTCTTCTTGAATAAGTAAATCTTTAAGTACATTATGTTCTAATAATTGAAAAACTCGTAATTGTTTTTGGACAGTTGATTGTCATTGTTCATTTGAAACATCATCATCTTCCTCTTCTTCTTCATTATCATTTTCGTCTTGATTATCATCAACATTCGATAATACAATATCTTTTAAATTTGGAAGATCACAATGTAAAGAGATATTTTGAACTTCATTAATTAGTTTTGAAAGAAGAAGTTGTCCTTGTAAAATAGAATTTTGTAATTCAACTGGTGACAAACGTTCAGGATGATCTACATATTGAAATTCAAATGCAAGAATATTTTTTATTGCTTCGGCTGCTGTATTCGGTACATTGTGAAAATCCTGTCGACCACTCGTAATATGATACATTCCACCACGTAAACGTAGTACTATATGAATTATAGATTCTTTCTGTATGTTATAATCTGAAAGAGTTCTATCGTCTTCGAGATGGTTTCCAGCAAATACTAAACGTTGTTGATCAGGAGGAATACCTTCCGCATCTTGTACCAATTTTTTGACCATAGGTATATCCATGTAAGCATTGACTTCGAGCGGAATCATCTTTCTAGTAAGAGTTTGCATAAAAATTTTAAAATCAGACATGGATTGCCCAGTAACAGTCTATGAAAAAATATATATCCTTTAATATGAAAAAAAAAAATTGTAATTTACTGTTTCTTGCAAAACTTTTGCTATAATGATACAATTATCTTCATATAATTTTGATGATAAGACGGTTTCATCTAACTTCAATGTTCGACCTTCATTCCAATTTTGTGTTGTTGTTCGAGAAACTTGATCTACTGCAATGAATGATTTTAATTCAATGTTTGGCAGTTTTCGAAGTTTTTGTATTTGCATTTTAATTTTCTCAATAGTATCCGTTACAAGAACACGTAATACAAATTGTTGAAGTGCTATATCTTCACGATATTCTATCAAGATAGTCAATTCACCATGTGTAATAAATTGATAACCGTCTGGATATTCGGATACAGATAATTTCAGATAATATTCATCTAATGGAGAAATAATAGTATCTTGATTCATTATTCCAATTTTGATCCACTGTTGTAAATATTTTGGTACATAATTCTTCTTGTATTTTTTAAATAATGTATTGATCGATTCATGATCCATATATTCATCAGTTATTGAATTTCCATATGGATCAATAAATGTTATCGATCGTGATTTTAATTCCTTTTGTATTTTCTTTTGATTTTTACATCGATCGTCAAGAAATTTTTCGATTTCAATCATTTGATGTTGAATCGTTTGAACATGAAAGATTAAATCTTGATAAACAAATGAAGTTGTCTCTGTAGGTTTAACAGCAGTCGATGATGCCGTTGAACTACTTCCATTACTTGCCGAATCATCCATCTAATGATGATTAGGTATCTAAAAATAAAGGAATGGTAATAAACTAAACAAATTAAAAGGCTAATAGTTATTTTACAAAATATAATTATTAGAGTGTAAAGGTAAATAGCAGAGCTCGAAACCGAATCGAATAGTTCCTTTTTTTTATCGAGTCGAATCGAATCGAATAAAGACTGTAAAACAGCGAATCGAATCGAATCGAGTCAAATTTTTTCTCACTCATTCGGTTAACAACGACCTTTTTTTTTCTTATTTATCGTTATGGACGAGTGCATATAAGTTGATATAAAAGATAGCCGTAATAAAGAAAGTGTTATCTTATTCATTTCTTTTCCTCTCTCAGTCTAAACGGCCGTCTAATGTTAGTGATTAAATTCTACATGAATGTCACAATTTAGCGCGACAGGCCAAATTGTTACTCAACGACAAAGTAGCCTGGATTCATCAACAGTCAATAATATTATTTTTTTTCCTTCGATCGAGAACAAATTTTATTAAAATTTTTTTTTGACTTATCTAAATATGGAGTCGAACACTAGAGAAAAGTAACTTAACTTAAGATTGAATTAACCAATCACGTTACTTCAATCAACCTTAAGTTAAGTCACTTTTTCTAGTGTGTTTGACCCCTATACTTTACTATACGTATCCATTTTCCTTGTAAAAATAAATAATTATTAGTGATATATTTGAAGATCATCAAAATTATATTTTTATAGAGACGAGTGAGAATCAGCTATCATCACAAGGAGAGAATATTGTTGAAAAAGTTATAGGAATTTAAAATAAATAATATGACTTTTTTTATGAAATATAAACCGAATCGAATCGAAAATAAAATTTTAGAAACGAATCCGAATCGAGTCGAACCGAATATAACTTTTGCCACTTTTTTCGCGCTCTGGTAGATAGATACGATTCTAATATCTAATTTGTTTATAAATTAGACTGAAGAGAGATGTACTGTGTTATTAGACGCGTATGATGTTATTTAGAGTGGATTTTCAATCGGTTAGCCGCTATGTCGAAAATATTTCTAATTCGTCACGTAAAATTCTTCGGCGATAATTTCAGTCACAAAAGAGCATAATTCAAATAGACAGGTAATTATATGGCATTTAAGATATGAATGGTCACTTCAAGATTGAATCATACATCACCATATAAGGAAATAATCAGTTGTTAATTATCATCATCTGAACTTTTATCTTCTGTAGACCGCCGAATTTCGAAAATTGTATTTGATATGTGTACTCTTCACATTCTCGTAATCTTGTCAAGTTTTTTTTTCAGAACGAGTGACAAGATACTATCAAATCTGAGAATTTCTCGATCTGGACCTAATTGATTAATTTTTTGTCGATTCGGACTTGAATCATACTTTTAAAGCTCGCAATGTAATTTTCTAACCCGAATCTGAGTGTCGTTCTGAAGATACAATATACTTTTTTTTCTGTTTGATGATTAGCATATTCATTGAACGATCTGATTGTGTTCCTGTAATAATGAAATTACAATTAGTTCTTATTCCTAACCAATAGGTTCTAATGGAAAAGTGAATGCATGCATCATAAAGACCTTACATTATATCTTTTATTTAAAAAGAATTCCATTATAAATAATACTTTGTCTTTACTAAATTCGATACATGAAAAAGTAAAAGAGAGTATGAACCTATTTTCAAAGAAGAATGAATTTGTCGATTTAATAGAAAATTATGATAAATCAATCACATTTCACACGGCAAAAAATGTCTCATTGGTTTTATACATAAATTTAGAAGGTTTGAATAAAATAAACAAAAGTTTAAAAAAATTCATAAAATACTGCTAGATGTATCAAAGTTTTTTTTTTCTATTCAGACCTAGTGAATCCTAATGGTGACTCATGGATCCTTCGGAAAAAAAAGATTTGCCATGATAATTAACAGACTGAAAATCAATAAGGCAGCTGCTGCACTTCATCCAATCACTCGTCTTAATGATAAAGGCGACGTTTTTAGAGAATATTTAGAAGTCTTGATGAATACTAACAAGGCCCAGTGCAACCTGTGATTATGAGACGATTTATAGGCAAGCAAATCAAATCAGAATCACGAAATGTCTGAAAACAGCTTAATAAAATTGGTATAAATATGAAATACAACGAGTTTATAGTGATTAAAAGACAGTCAAGATTAACTTATAATTGTCTAGAAAGTTGCAAAAAAATGAATTAAACTCAGTGAAAGAAACGTGTAATTTTTTAGTTACTTATCTTATTGAATTTTCTTTTGTGCAATCGAAGGCACGTACTTACAACGATACGTGCAATTACATTGCAATTACAAGCGAAGAAGAAATGAAAGAGAAGAAACATGCTGCAGCCATTTATATTATGTTCATAGATGATTCATTTGTTTGAAGAAAAAAAACACATTTTCTTTTTTCCTACACGTACGAAAAAGTTGCATCATAACATTATTTATTGTTGTCTTCTCAAAAAAAAACATTGAGAAAAGGTTAGAATAAAATATTTCAAGTTTTTCATTAATGAAATTTAATTTCCTCAATCAATACTTTTTCCATTCAATAGAAGGGTGTGGGTGTGAGAGCTAAGAACACTAACACCCACACCCTCTTCATCTATCTCAAAATCGGTGATAAACAAGAAACTCCAATTAAATAAAATTTTTATAACTTGAATCGTGCTGTTTTTTTTTCTTCTTTATCTATTCTAATGCATTCAGATATATTTTCTTTTTATTGTCATCAGTTAATATTTTTTAGAGTTTTACTGGATTATGGGCATAGTTTTATCATTATATGTGATATCAACAATAAGCGAAATGATCTTTCTGTGTCTGAACATTTAGAAGAAACTTCAGTAATATTAGTTCAAATGTCTTCATAATTTTTCACAGTTCAGCGTGTTATATTTGTCATTAGTAATCATATTTGAAAAAACAACGTATGAATCAGTTAGCATGGACTTCGAAACTCCAAATGTGTTTGGAGTTCCGGAGTTAGCTGCTTCCTCCTTGCGTGCATGTCACATTTGTAAACTTTGACAAAAGGTTCTATGACACTATTCTCTGCGACACGTACATACGACAGATTTTAGTTTGGTGTGCATGTATAAATAGTTCGAGGTTTAATGATGCTGTATGAAACCTTATGAAATGGCAAGAAGAGCATAGAATATATTAATTTAAATTTTCGTAAGAATGATTTTCAGTACATGACATGCGCCGGCTAATGTACATGATGACCCAAGAGTCACGTACCCGAGAAAAAAATTGAATATCTATGTTACAGCTCAAGCAGACGGACTGATTTTTTTACCAATAATAGAGGCATGTTCACATTTTAAGTCCATATGAACAAGATTAAGGAAAGCTTTCGTTAAATATCACTAAAAACCTGAACAAATAAAAGTTACTTTTTCACAGATAGAAAAAAAACAATGTACGATGAAGAGCAGCCAATTTGTCAAGATAATACATAAATGCTTACTCATATTTCTTTTTTTTTTCTTATCAGATACATGTCATAAATCTTTATTAACGCCAAAGAAAGATCACTAACGTGCAACAATCAATACATTTGTGTATGTTTGGTGAAAATAAATGAACAATATTTTAACATAATTATTCAAACTGCTTGACTTCTGTATCCATACACATCTGACAACGATTACCTGCAGAAAGACAGAATTGCTTGACATAATTCGATATTATTATTGAATGATGTAAATGCTTGATTAATTAAGGACATAAATGAGAAGAGAAAAGATATGTGAATGAACAATACATGCTAATTAAAAGAATATTTGATTATTTACAATTTATCTTGATAGATTAGCTCCTCTTCATTGCACATTGATTTTTCCTCTCTGTGAAAAAGTAAATTTTTTCTTGTTCAGGTTTTTAGTGGTATTTAACGAAAGCTTTCCTTAATCTTGTTCATATGGACTTAAAATGTGAACATGCCTCTATTATTGGTAAAAAATCAGCCCGCTTGCTTGAGCGTTAACGGAGATATTCAATTTCTTTCTCAGGTGCGTGACTTGTGAGCCAACCTATACTTTGCTTCAAGCAAAGATCGACCTTTTTTTTTCTCTACCTCGAATAAGATAAAAGATAATAGTGTTTCACATGATAAACAATCGTTATAAAAACACATACCTTCACTTTGTTATTGATTCTCTATTATATACAAATGTGCCAACAAAAGGTTATATTATCAAATAAAGTAAAAGAAACATTTTGCATTTGTCTATGACTTTCAGATTGTTTTTTAATTCGAATGACAGATCGATATTCTCGTTTGGTAGATCAATATCACCGTGATGGGTTTGTGATATTACGAAATGTAATTGATGATCATTTAATAAAAGAATGTCATCAACATGTTGAGTTTTTACAAAAGAAATATCCATCTATACCTGGTGAACATTTACACCATCCAATCATGCGTAATGATCCGTTTTGGGTCCGATTAATAACTGATCAGCATCTATTGGATTTGGTTGCTCTTTTCGGCGCACCCTTCATCAAACCAAACGAAGGAATTGCTCTGTTTTCATCCCATCATTTTTGCAAACCACCTAAAACAGGCATGCCTGTTCTTTGGCATCAGGATGGTAAATTTCATTTTCTAAATCTCTTTGAAGAATAGATTTCATATATTGCTCATCGTTAGGTTCTTATTGGCCATTGAAACCAATGGATGTGTTAACCATTTGGTTGGCTATCGATGATAGTGACAGAGAAAATGGGTGTTTGAGAGTGATTCGTGGTAGCCACAAACAAGAACTGAACAGTTTGAAAGATGATTTGACAGTTAATAATGTCTTGGGTAGTTACACGCATCGAAATGAAGACATTGATCAAAGTCAAATTGTTGATCTTGTGCTGAAACCCGGTGGTAAGAATGAACGATTATTCTTTTCTTAAATCTTTTGTGTTCATGAATGGTTTGATACATAAATTGGATAAATATTTCAGTTAAGAATCCTATAAAATTTTTCTTCGGCGATGGTAACACTCATGAAAATCTGCTATATTTCTTGTCTTTTATACTTTTTCGTATTGTACTATGTTTCTTTGTATTTTTTCCTATTCAGAAATGTGGCTAAGTGAAAAAAAAGCGAGAAATGTAACTGGTATTAGAGAGGTGCAATATCGGTGTCAATCCTGAAATATTGATATTGATGTTACCGACACTTAATTCCACTGGAGCACTGGAAAATAGAGGTATCGAGTCTACTAGATTAATCTCGACAATATTTTTTAGAAATATTAAAGCAAGGTCTACAAAAAGCTGGATATTCTTCTTCGTCTTTTCTTATGATGCTATTTGCGTCATATATATCGTCTTTTTCTTTTCTCTTCAATGTGATTTTGCTAATAGATGTTAGTATACATCATCCAAATATCATTCATTCTTCAGAAGCGAATACAAGCGATCGAAGACGATGTGGACTCGCAATCAGGTACTACAGAAAACATGAGTTTTTCAAATAATATACTCCACTTTCTTTAGATATATTGCTCCTACTACCGAATGTCTCAATAAAGAACAGCCAGTGATGATGATGCGTGGTAAATCTATAGCAGGAATTAATCATTATCGAAGCTGGCCTAAATATCGTCCTGGCTATGATTTTCCATTTGAAGATTGTGAACAATGGAATGAAAAACGAAGAATTGAACCGGAAGATGAATCGTACTTTGATAGAACGGATTATGATCAAATGGATCAGGAAATTCAAGATAAAGTGTTTGCTTTTATTGCTAAATTAGGTGGAAAAGCACCACCAAAATAACGATACTTTATCTTTATTTGAAACTTATTTTGACGCACTTACCTTTTGCTTGATTTCTTTTAGTTGATTGTATAGGTGAATTAAACTGTGCAAAAAGTGCTAGAGCTGTAACCAGTAATGGTCAATGGTTGATCTGGCTCTTTTTCCAGTTTTCACATATTTTTCTTTTTAAAATTGATCATAAAAAAAATTTTTTTCTTCACGTATCAGATAATTTCAAAATATTTTATCAATTCAAGACGGTTTTCAGGTATCTTATTAAAACAAAGTCAAATAGTTATTTAACATCATCATTTATCATTGATTCCTTTGTGTTTCTTACTATTGATAGCATATAGTCCGCACAAACATCAGCGGCAATAATACCAAATTAGGCGGTGGATATGACTAATCAAGAGATTGATTCAACTGAGATAGGGATAGAAGAAACAATGAATAACTCATGCCAGTCTGGTTCAATTTGACCTTTAGATCAATATCGATAAGAAAAACATCCTACAAGTTTCAATTCTGAATTATGCGACTTATAGAGATGATGAATGCAACTGTTGATGTATATCTTTCAAAATTTATAAACATAGATGAATAGATTGTGTTCATTTAACTCTAGATCATCTTCATAGACTATGAAGTTTTCGATTCAATCTCTGTTATTTGTCACTTCGTTTGTGTATTCATTTCTATTCTATGAAATTTGTGACGAATGAGATTTTATCAGTAATATTTTGCATACCATTATGCAAGATAGATGTGTGTGATAAAACTTTTTATGTTGCTATTATTGATACCAGAAAAAGAACAAAAAAAAATACGTCAATTTAATTACTCTTCATATTGTCGTAAAAGAAGATGTGTATCATTTGAATATTCAATAACAATAAATTTCTTTTGAGATACAATATGGTCGAGTGAATGATCAATTAGATAGATTTAAGTTACCTCATGGCTGAAAAGGCTTGTTTCTTAAACTATCCCTAAAAATCGACTTCAGGCCAGGTACGCTGAAATTGTATAAAATTTTCAGAATATGTTGGGACAATAGTGAGGAGACTATGGTAAAATTTTCAACCCTATACCATATAGTTCGAGGGAGAAATGCATCAAATAAGGGTCAAAAAATAGCTCATTTCATCTCCAAAAATTCTCGGTGGACCTTCATTTTATATATATATAATTTGTTTTTGTTTGAAAGCTTGTCTCCAGGGCTAGCCTACCTCGTGGATGGTGGGTGTGGGTGTCATTTGTTTCCCATTAAGCAATACCCACACCCTTATGTATTTGAATGTGTAAATAAAAAAAGCAATAAAAATCAAATTCTGTCGTTCATTGCATCCATATGTATACCGGGACGAATTATTTCTTTTTTTCGACAGATGCATATCAAGACGACGACGAGTAGGATAATACCATGGATCACGTAATTGATGATCATGAGAGTATAAGCACTTTTAAATAAATCAGGTTGACAATAGGTAGTTGTGACAGCAGGATAGTCTCCTTGAACGCCATTGATTTTCGCGCCGAATATCGAAACTGAACCTGCAATTAACCAACCTCAGCTAAATAACAGCAAGGTGAGTGTTGAAATGAGAACAACAATGAGAATGATGCGTTCCACCGTCTCGTTCTTCTCTGCAGCACGAGAATAAATACATCGTATATTGACCACCTCAATAAAGACAAGCGTTATCACTAATAGATGAACCGTGGATATTAGCGAGTGTGATTCCTAGAGGAATAACTATAAAATGGAACTTCCGTGAGTAGAAACGGACGGCTGTTTGGAATCAATCGTTGCGTATTGGTGGTGACAGAATCCCATTCTGACCTTCGTTTCATGATTTCATCTTTCTTCTAGTTAAAGTCGAATGAAGACTCTAAACAGATCGAATCATACTTGCATAACATATCATTAACAGAATCTTCACTAGACCATCCTTTGACCGTTGAATTCATCCATAACACAGTCAAAAACATAGGTTTGGTCTCATTTCATACACAGATTATTCCGTCAAACTTTCAAATATAAATTCTGACGATTTTTGCAATTGTCTTTCTTCATAAATCGTCTCGAAGTTTTCTATTATATCTTGTTACTATTTCATCGGTATTTGACTCGGATCGAATCGGGTTACTAAAAAAGTATTTGAATTCAGATTAAATTGACTCAGAAAAATTTGACCCATGCCGGAACTGTACTTCAAAATGTTGAATATTAAATTGTTTTTGTGGAAAAACTTTTCTAGAGTGCTTTAAAAAAATGTTACTTCGACGATGTGCTATGATTTCATCTGGACTTCCATTCTCTAATAGATGCATTCAACATATAACACACTCTCAAAGTCATCCTCAACATTTTTGACAAAGTCGAATCTTTTGTTTCAAATAACGAGAAATACTTTCAGTAAAAACCTTCAGACCATAGCAATTCTCTTAGAACGGCACGTGCGCTGTTCTCTCATCAGTTTTCAATCTTGAATTGAGAATAACAATATCAAAGAAATGATGTGCTCATCACATTCTATAATAAATTCTTCACCGTCTGAACTTATTTTAGGATTCATATTTAAAATATTTCATTAATTGCTAACGTTGGGGACGAGTTGTTAATATTAGGGTTTTTTCCCCTGTCTCACCACCTATCTTAACTTCCATTTAACATTTAAGAAGTCATGCAGGCACTGCTGTACGATTATAACAAACAAAAACTCTTTGTTTGTTCTTTGTAAAAAAATAACACTAATTGTTAAAAATGGAGAAAAGATAACAATGAACGAGTTCAATATAATATTCAATTCGGAATTGTTAGAACAGTCATGAAACTAAGTCATCCAAAGAAATATTCATAAATATATTATCATGTCGTTTAAGTATTAAAAGGATGGACAAATAGATCACATAGATGACACTTTTTAGTTAATGTTCTTCTCTATCGGCGAAAATCACATCGGAGAGATGATTTGAATAATGTTCAATATAAACATTAAATTCATCTACTAATGGAATTTCTCAAATAAACAGTCATCTTACTTTGTTTGAGTAGTCTTTCGTACGAATGATAATGTTTGCTCCATTTAAAAGTATTCTTTCTCATTTAAATTTACTAGAATATATCAATGACCCCAATGCACTTTTTTTTCCTCTTTCTATTTCTTCGTGATACTCGAGTTGTGCGATGATGGAAACTTTCCCTCCTTATATTTTCTTTTTTTGCTCGACATCTGTCATGATGACGAAGAAAGAAAAAAAACTGAGACTGTGTTATATATTCCTTTCGAAAGAAAGGAAGCAGCTATCATCATAGCAACCATTAGCTTTTTGTTCTGATGTTAAACTAGCAACGTTTACTTCTTAATCTGCACTTGAGATGTCACATCATCTACTGCACATTGCAAACAGTCACTAGAATAAACAAAACTTCACGAAAAATTATTAGTAAACAACAAAATAAATAGGAATTCACTATGGCACAGGAAATCGATCTTTCACTATCGCAAATTCTATTCGAGAATTCTTTTTAGATCAGATTTCAAAGCAAGTTAAATAAAATAGCTCAGAAGTAGTTTAATTTTGTCCTATATAAACATTTCTTCATATTGAAGTTGGAATATTTTATTAACTCTACTCAATGGTATAGGATGTCTGGAAAGTCACTAGAATTAGAAAAAATTGAATATCTCCGCTACAGCTCGAGCAAATGGGCTGATTCTTTCATCAATGATAGAGACATGTTCAAGCTTTATATTCATAAAGACATGCTTAGAGAGACTCTTTGTTAAGTCTATTGTTTTTTCCTATCTGTAAAAAAGTAAAATGTTTTTTGTTAAGATCATTGATGGTATTTAATAAAGGCTCTTGCTAACCTTGTTCGTATGAATTTGAAGTATGAACATGTCTCTATTATTGGTGAAAAGATCAGTCCGTTTGCTCGAGCCGTAGCGGATTCATTCAATATGCAGTTGAAATAAACTGAAGAAAAGGAATTTGACTAGTCCGTTTGTGAAAAAGTGTCATCAATGGTGGTTTAGACTAGTCAAAAACTTTTTACAACCCATTATATTTTTCAGCTGAATCGTCTCAGAACAACTCGTTATTGGACTAACCATATGTGAACTGAAGGGACAAGAATGTAGTGCAAAGAATTTTTGAACATCTGCATCATCTTTTACAATAATCGATAAATAATAAGACTGCATTTAGGATATGGACTAGATAGTACAACAACGTTCATATCGCTCTAAGTTTTAAGTATGAGTGAACCAGGATTATTATTGAGAAGACAAATTAACTATCATAATAAATACATTTCACTCTTTTTAATTGATATTTCAGTGTGGTGTACTAGAACACAATTATGAAAATTAGTAACAATTATAAGAGATCTTCTTCTTTATATATTTGATCATATTTTCGTAAACGACTTTTCAGTTTTGTCTATTTATTGAACTAAAAAGAAGTACATGAAAAGACAAAGTACACTATTTACTTCTTAATGAGATGTACCAATTTATATTTCTTATGATTGATTAAAATATGTAAAATGAATAAAAGAAAATAATTTGATTTTAATATTTTAATGTTCAATGTCAAAATAGTACTTTATTTTAAATTGAACTGCTACCAATTTAGATTTAAAATCCGTCAATTAAATTAAAAAGTTTTACTTTATTTTTAAATGTCGATTGCAAAAATTGAAATCTAAAGTAAACTTGAGCTACGATGTAAAAATAATTATTTTTCTTAATATTAAACAATATTTTTAATTTATTTTTGTATTTAATAAGAATAGATTTTATCTTTGAATATAAATTGATTACATGCAGTTTGGTAACAATTCGAAAAAAAAAATCCTGAATTTATCTTATTTAATTCTATTTCACTAATTTTCCACTCTGTAGTAAAAGTTAATTTTTTTATTCATATCAAAGACTGAAATAATGTCGAGTAGAATTGTATTAAATTGCATGTTAGAATATCTATTGACACGCATAAGTTGATTACTTGATCATACAGTTCAATCGGCTAAACGGGTGTCGGTATTAATTCATTTCTTCCGACACGCTCACACCCGCTCACAGACAGGTCTATTTATGAATGAAATATCCTGAAAATTTCAGCTGAAAAAAGCATTTCTTTCCCTAGATATTTAAGTCCAAAAAATGGCTCATATACTAGAAAAGATGTTAGAATTTTCTGTTTTTTGGAACTTAAATATCTCAGGAAGGAAACATTCTTTTCAGCTGAAATTTTAAGAATATTTCACTCAGAAATAGACCTGTCTGTAGGCATATTCTCAGGTCGAAATACCATCATTCGATTTATTTGTATATACCATGCCGTAGGCTAAAATTTCAGTAGAATGCCTATAACTTTAGATAGAAGACCTAAGGACATTTAACTGTTTTGAGTTTTTCATACTTCACTCGGGTCTATCTTCTGTACAAAGTTCGAACTCAAAAGGGATTGAACACTTGAAGACGTTTCCTCGTGAATACTACAAAGTTATGAAAAAATTAATGTGGAATCTCGAAGAATAATGTTAGGAGAGTGCTTGGAAAGTACCAAAAAATGAACCCTTTTCTACGGGAAACGTACCCAAGATCATTTAGAAATTGCACGAAGAGTGTCATCATGTGGAATAAATTCTATCTAGTAAAAATCACCATATGATCCTCTATGACCTTCTTTAAAAATATCCTTTCAAAATGGGAAAAAACTTTTATTTTCGAAAAATTCTTCTAGGGGATAGAAGGACTCAAAGAGAAAAGTTTTATCTGAAGAGAGTGTGTGACTGAAGAGAATGCAAATAATTACAGCCGCATTCACATCTTTTCGATTTATATAATACACGGATTCAAAATACGTTTCAAATATTTTAATCGACTTTAATGAATTCTATGAACGTTTTCAACTTTTATATTCATCTCATACCTGTATTCTCCTGACAAAAATAATCAATTTGAATCCAATTATGCTCGAAAATGTGGACAGTTTAGATAGAAAGTGAAGTTTGTATACGCGAGTATTCCACTAGCTTTTGAACTAATCATGATCAACTAGATTATATCATAGTCTAATAACTCGACATCAAATATAGTTCAAGATTTTGATTCACCATGAATATTTTTGACGTGTGTCAATTTTTGATAAGCTATGAGTAGATCCTTATGCTGTTTTGTCTGTGTATGTTCTGGAGGCAATGATTGAAGATCGATATCGATCGCCTTTTGTTGATATTCAACAGCTTCAGTGTATCGATTTAAACAGTAAAGAATGTATGCGATATTACTATAAGAGACAGCAATTGAAGGATGAGATGAAGAAAGTATCTTTTGCTGAATATCAAGCTCACGACGATAGTAAATTAGAGCATCTGGATACTTATCTTGATCAGCATAGACGCTAGCTATATTATTGTAACAACGAGCAATACTTTCTTCATTAGGTTGAAGCATAGTGAGTTCATTACGAAGTGCATGATTAAAATATTCTAGAGAAAGATCAAACTTTTGTTGCTTGTTGTAGATTAGTCCAATAACATTGTATGTCCATGTAAGCATTGAATCATTTTCAGATACATTTTTTTGATAGATTTCAAGAGAACGATGAAATCGAACTAGTGCTTCGTCTAAATCATCTTGTACATCATAGAGAATCCCGAGTTGATGTAATATTGTTACTTGATCTTTCCATTCAGTTACTTTTTCAATAGCTGCTTGATAGAATTGTTCTGCTCTTTCTAGTTGATCTGTTTCCAACATCAGTCGACTCAGTTGACATAAGGGAATCGAATGTTGAATAGTCTGTCTCATATGCTCCATTAACACAAGCAGTTGTGGATCTTGATCATTTGTGAATATCAGATGAACGAACCAGATATCATCGTTGTCCTTTTCGATCGAACTGATGCGAAAAACAGAACCCATTGAGAACAACCATTCTTTCTCTTGTCTATTGAAGCAGCTAATAGAATCGATATTAGCATAGGCTAGATTGTCTCTTACCGACATGTCAATATGAATCACCATTAATACTGCTTTTCTTTCATCATTATGACTAGCGCACGTCATGGCGACATCTATATCAGAAGTTGTGTTCAAGAAATTTGATACAGAAATAAGACCTCCTTCATTTTCTTTCAATAAATTAAATTGTGAATTCGGCATAGTTTGACCACGATAAAGTGTTATAGCATTTTGTTCGGCACAATTTTTCGGCATATTACTTAATTGTACGTGTAATTGTCGAATAAAGCAGCGAAATGTATAAAGTGTCTCAACATGTTGGTCTTGAAGAGCTTTGTTCAATATTTTATAGAGAAAGTTTGGGTGTGTATACCACCAGACTGGTGAATGTTCTTTGTAACTTTGCTCAAATTTATCAATAAATGCGAGTTCGATTGGATTGTTCAAGTAATGAATACGACTGAACTGTACAATTTCATGTTCATCTCCATCTGTGATCTTGAGAAGCGTTTCTTTAAGAAGTTGAATATACATGAATGATTCTTTTCGCTGATTGCTTTGATCTTGTTTTGCTTTTCCTATGACATTAAAGTGTATTAGATTATGTTCGAATCGAATGATATCGAGATGAATTTTTTCCCATATGTTTTCAATGCATGTGACAATCTTATTAAATTTTTTCATGGATTCGATCCATTGGTGCTGTTCATTTTTATTCTCGTCCATAAGAATGTAAATAGCATCGATTTGTGGTAATTTATTAAAGTACAGTAATAATTCATCACTAAACGTACTTGAAATTATTAATAAAATATGTGTATCTTCCACATTCAAAATATAATCTATGCAATCATCAGGAGATGTGAATATTTTCACACAATGGATAATTTGTTGAGGTTTTGCGATGGTTTGAAGACTATCATTATTTTGTTCAGCATGTCTATCGAGTCTGATTATAATAAAATTTTCTATGTGACGACTTGAGAACAATTTCAATGTTGATGAATATGCCATGGTGAACAGACACGTTTGTTAACGAAAAAAAAACAATGAATGAATGTCACAATTGCTTTATTCTTTTATTATAATACGAAGCACTTGCATAGCAACTTATTATATATTTTGTATGGTTTCCTTCCGTAGACGATCACCCGAAAGATTGCGATTGTTTATGAATAAGTGGATGAAGGTGTATAGAAAAATACAGATCCATAGAAGTATCATAAAAAATGGAAGCTTGTTTTACATAGCTCCAATCTGTGAATGGTAGACTTCGATGAAAATGTGACTTTGCCAAAAAAATGTACTTCAATACTTTTGAATCAGGAAAATTAGAAAAGTAAGTTATCTATTGCATTACTATAATATCTGGCTCTTCAATACCTTCCTACTATTTGAGTCAGTTGAAAGCAAATGTAAAAGATTCTATAATATGCAGCATAAATGTGCACAGTCTGAATATTTAATTCGCTATTTCTTATTGTGCATTTAGTAAATAATTTTTTTCTTTCATAAAAAAACGACATTATAGTTGGAGAATTTAGATTTTTCTCAAAAACATCGTCTAAAAAGGGGCATGCAAAAAAGAATGAATATGAAAACCGTCAAATACAGTCAATGCCCCTAATAACGACACTAAAAAAATAACATGTCTTGTTTGTTTTGGTGCATAGCCATTTTACATTCAAATCAAAATATTTTTATATATGCATGATCTTCGAAGTGTTCTCTTTCGAATGATATAAGAACCATTTTTCTCTGACACGTAGTCGCAGAGAAATCAGCAGTATACGAAAACAAACTGCATCTGCTGTTATTAGGGTCCATTTCCTTAATAACGACACTCTAATAAAATGCAAGCAAAAATGCACTTTTTGAGAAAAAATTTTTTTTCACAGGTTCTAATCGAAAATCAAGCAAAGGTCCCATTGACATTTTTGTAGAGCATAATGAGCTCTATCTATATCTAAAGATACACAATGAATAGAATTTCACTTCTTGAGATAGAAAACTTGAAGAGAGAGAGTCTAGCATTGATCAAAAGCCAAGTGAGGGTGTGGGTGTGGATGTGCGATATGGAATGTGGGGTGTTAGTGTGGAATGTGGGGTGTGAGTGTGGAATGTGGGGTGTGGGTTTGGAGGGTGTGAGGTGTAGAATGTGGGGTGTGAGGCGTAGAATGTGGGGTACAGGTGTGGGTGGGTGGAGCGTGGGTGTGGAGTGTGGTATGTGAGTGTGGATGTAGGTGTGGATGAATAATAGATCGCACCCACAGCCACACCTTCATACCAACTTTTCGAACACCCTCTGCTATTATATACAAAATTTTGTAGTACTTCTCCCGTGAAAAGGGTGTGGGTGTGGGTGTGGCGTGCGGGTAGGTGTGAGTATAGACAGAAATGATACCCACAGCCACACCCCACACTCACGCCCCACACCCACAGCCACACCCCACACCCACAGCCACAGCCACACCCCACAGCCACACCCACAGCCACCCACACCCACACCCACACCTACACCCACCCACACCCGATTTCAGGCTAGGTACGCTGAAATTGCATGAAATTTTCAGAATATGTTGGGACGACAGTGAGAAGACTACGCTAAAATTTTCAACCCTATACCATATAGTTCGAGGGAGATATGCACCAAACAAGGGTCAAAAAATAGCTCATTTCATCTCCAAAAATTCTCGGTGGACCTTCATTTTATATATATAATTTGTTTTTACTTGAAAGCTTGTCTCCAGGGCTAGCCTACCTAGTAGATCCTTTTCTTAAACTCCTACTGTTTAAGCGAAGAAAACGGATGACAAGTTTAATGACTCAAAAAACTGCTAAAAATGGCGCTTTTTCTATAGTGGTGCTTTCTTATATAATAATAAAAAGGCTTATTTTAAAAAACAGGCCACAAGGTAGGCTTGTCCTAGAGACGAGCTTTTGAGCGAAAAAAATATTTGACTTTATATTGTACTGTGGTGAAATGATGCTGGAGATACGGAAAGCCATCGCACATAACAGGATATGTGTAGATATGTATAATAAAATTGTTATATCTCTAGCCAAAGTACGAGGAATAGATCTGAAATTTTTAGTGGTGCAAGAATGAGGGTGCGGGTATTTATTTTCTCTTCAACAGAATCCACAGCCACAGCCACACACACACACAGCCACATCCCACATCCACACCTTTTTTGTTAAAGTTTTGAGAAAAGACATCGTCGCTCTGACGATAAAAAGTTGTGATGCCAATTAGCTGTGGAAAAAGAACCAAACCACATTGAGACTTGATCACCGATTTTTCAATACCAATTTTATACTAAACTGACTTGTCTGTCAACTTCCGTTAGAAGATGGAAACAAAAATAGAAAAACCCGCCCTTTATTATCGGACACCACTTCTTTCCGAAAAAAAGAAATGCATTTATTCCTGTTCCTCTTCTTCAAATAGGGTATGGGTGTGAG